ACGGAGGGTCCAAGAGTCTGGTCTGGCCCTCTGGAATGCAGTGCCTGCGGCGGGGATAGTTAGCCTTTCCCTGAGGGACGGTAGTTCCTCAGGGGATCCCAGAGAATCTCCTTGTAGTCGGGACCTTTGGAGCCTCCAGATCCTGTCCCAGCTCTGGCGGGTGCAGAGCTTCAAAAGAGCCTGAAGAAGCGGCCTTATCACTTCTACCTGCCTTCAGGCTCCCCTGCCTTTCACCCTGGGAAGTTCTTCCTACATCCCTCCTGCGGCAGTGACCTGAGGCTCAGTCCCTTTTCCCCCTTCCTGGGCTAGAAAACATCCCCTGACCAACTGGAAGCGGATCCCAGTGAAGGCAAAGTGCCTAAGGACCTTTGCGCTCGAGGCTGAGGAGACTCTGCCTAGTGTCAGGAATTCTGCCTCGAGTGGCTTTCTTACCTCAATTCCCCAGAGTTTATTATTATTACTATTATCAACATGAATAAATAATCTTCCATTTCTTTATCACTTTAAGGTTTACAAAGTGCCCCCACCTCACCTCCTAGCAGCCTTCCCAGGTGCACAGAGATTATTGTCTCCAGTTTATAGGGGTGACTGAGGTTCAGAGCGGGAAAGAAAGGGACTTGCTCGGAGGCCAGCCAGGGTCCGATGCAGTGGGAGGGCGAAGCTAATTTGGAGTCAGACTTTGAGTTGGAATCCTGGCTATTTTCACTCCGCATGACCTCATCTCTTATGTCTTCTTCCTTCTCTGGAAAACGAGGGAGTGGACCAGAGAGGAATCGTGAGCCTCCCTGACCCTTTTCTCCTCCCGGTGAATCGGTCCCTTCAACAGATCCTCTTGTGTCTTCATTTCGAAGAGAATTCTCACAGACCTCCAGAGATCGTACCTCCAGGGAGAGAGGTGACCAGACAAACCCACCTCCAGATAGCGAAAGAACGACATGCAGTGTGTTTTCTCTTATGTAAATCTGGGGAATGAAGGGTACAGAGATTCCGTGACTTCCCAGGGTTTAAATTCATGCATTAAGAGGTCCTACGAGAAGGGAAGTGTGTTTTATATCTGCCCTTCAGCACCTCATATCTTCTCACTGAACCCTATTCTCTCCCTGAGCTCTCTCACCCTCCCTAAGCCCCCAATTCCTCATGAAGGCCCTATCCTCTCATTGAGTTCCCATGTAACAATTAAATTCCCCAAATCCCCTTCACTGAGCCCCATCTCATCACTGAGTCTTCATCCCTTCCTGAGCCCCCTCTGTTTCCTGACTCCCTAAATCCTCTCCCTGAACAACCATCCACTCCCTGAATCTCCATCCCATCACTGATTCCCCCATCCCTACCCTGAGCCCTCATCCTTTTATCGATTCCCCAACCTCTCACGGAACCCCGTCTCTCACTGAGTTCCCACCTCCTTCTTGGGTCCCTATCTTCTTACTGATCCCCTTACCCCCTCACTATTCCCTTATCCTTTCATTGAGCCCCCATTCTCTCCCTGAGGTCCCATCATCTCATCCCTGGCCCCCCATTTCTCTGAACTCTCCTTCCCTTACTGAGTCACCATCATCTCACTGATCCCCTCATTCTCACTGAATTCTCATCACTAAGACTGTCATGTTGTCACTCCCATTCCTTCTTTGCTACGTTGAGGCTGAGAGGGCACCATGGATAAAGTTCTGCACTTCAGTCAAATTACTCCAACAACTGCTGCAGTATGACTCTGGGCACACTGCTCATTGTCTTCTGTTAAAATGATATTGGGGTGGGGAGGGCGGAAGACACTAAATGGCCTGAACCATAGACCCTGGGATTCCCTCCTTAAGCCCCCCTTCCAGTGCTCTCAGTCCCACAGCCTAGTCCTTCCCCAAGCTCTCATGCCCTATGGATCACCAGGCTCAGACTTTTTTGGAGGGGAATGGCGTCCTAGTTCTAACACAACTGTGGGAAGAGAGGGTAGGTCACCTCCCATTTCACAAGCTATGTTCCGAGGTAGATCTGCAACTCAATGCTGCCCCTTGGTGGCCCAAACCAGGCCTCGCCTCTGCAGGGCCGGTGGAAGCAAGGTTAGGGAAAAACAGGCAAGGAGGGGAAGGGATGTGTGGCTGAAGGGCCAAGGCACAGCACACGGTTTAGAAGAGGCCCAGCAGTCATCACTGCTCTGTCCCCAGAGCCTACAGCCCCATCCTGAGCAGGAAGATGTGGCCCCCACATTTGGTGAGAGAAGATACCAGCTGGAAACTAGAGAGGGGCTCGAACGCCCAGCTGAAGAATCTGGGCTCTGTTCCTTACTTGTTGTAAGCTTGGGAGAATGTCTTCCCTTCTCCAGGCCTCAGTTTTCCTAACTGTGTGTATGGAAGAGAGCAGAAACTGGGTTTCATCTGTAGCCTATTCAACTTCTCTTTGCTAAGAGAGGAGACTTTGAGATTAGAGGGTGAAAGAGAGAGCAGAGTAGAAGTCAGGGGCAGAGAGAGGAAGGCCCAGGCTGGCCCCTGATTCCACTGGGCATTCTCTGGGGTGAGACCAGATGATGTCAGCTTCCCCTGTCAGGAACCAGGCAAACCACCAACCCTTCTGAGTTACACTTCTTCCTGGATCCCACCTTCCAGCTCCCCTGTCAAGAGTGAGCTGAGGGGCAACTAGGTGGCGCAGTGGATAGAGCACCGGCCCTGGATTCAGGAGGACCTGAGTTCAAATCCAGCCTCAGACACATCTAGCTGTGTGACCCTGGGCAAGTCACTTAACCCCATTGCCTAGCACCCCCCCCAAAAAAAGAATGAGCTGAGATTGCCTCCAAAGTCAGATCCTGCCTCTTCACCAGATGACCATCCTATAGGAAGTTTATGTTGAACTTCCTGAAGAAGCTGTGGTTGAATTTCCTTACCTGCCCAAAGGAGAACTACAACTATTAGGTCCAAATCATCCTATGTCTGTGAAGACTTCCGGGGGTCTAGGACAGCCCCTCCCTCAGTAGATATTGTTGTTTATTATTACATATCATTTCCTTGAAAGCAGAGACTGGGTGGGTTTTGTATTGTATTCTCAGCATCTAGCACAATACCTGGCTTTTCATTCATTATTAAGAATGATATATTGACTTATTGGTTCTATGCTACTGGATGTAACATTCCTAAATGTATGTCTGCTAGGGTGCGGGGCAAGACTCAAGTCAAAGGAAGAGAGTTCCCCTCCTGGATCCTTCCCATAGTCTTTCTGTATATGAGATTCATCTTGTCACCATTAAAGTGCTCAGAGTCTTAAGATCTGGCCAACTTGCATTAACGATACAAATGCTTAGATTCCTTAAGAGTCTGGCCAATATGGTGGATCTTTAATAAACCCTATCTTTGGCTGACAAAAAAGGGAAGAGAACAAATCTGAATAGCAGAGTTCAGAATAAGGCAGGGTTAACACAGTGGGTGGAAGCTCAGAGCTATTTTGGATTGGGTAGATACAAAAATCAACAAAGCCCTAGACAAGGAAAGGGTGCTGTGGATTTAAGAAATAAAGGGTCACTGGATCTCTCTCATCCATAGAGAACACAGGGCGTGTGTGTAAACTGATGGGACCAGCTTACGACGTTCCAGCAAATAGCTATCAAAGTCATCTGTTGGGTAACTCCAAAATGAGAGGCGGGGGCTCTCAGGTGTTCCAAGCCATGCTTCCTTCTAGCCCAGCTATGCTCCTGGCTTCCTAGACAGACCCACCCTGTCCTAGCTGCCTTCTCACCTTGGAGATGCCTCCACTCCAGTGACCCCCTCCACCAATTAGCAAGTTTCTGCTCAGAACCTCCATCAAGTAAACACCCAAGCCAGTTATGCTTGCTTCTAACTTGGCTCTCCTCCTGACCCCTTGGACTTTACCTTGTGGGCATGTTCCTGCCCTGGTAGCCAACACTTCCAACTTTTCAGCTTTTGTATTTTGTCTTTTCTTATTAGAATGTGAGTTCTTTAGGTCCTGTCTTTCCGTTTGTATTTATATTCCCATCACTTAGTAAGTACAGTGCTCGGCATATAGTAGGTATTTAATAAGTGCTTTTTCTATCATCCTAGGGGCAGCAAGGTTGCACAGTGGTTAGAGTGCCAGGCCTGGAGTCAGGAAGAATTGTCTTCCTGAGTTCAAATCTGGCCTCAAAATAGCTATGTGACTCTGGCCAAGTCACTTAACTCTGCCTCAGTTTCCTCATCTGTAAAATGAGCTGGAGAAAGAACTGGCAAACCACTCCAGTATCTTTGCCAAGAAAACCCCAAATGGGGTAATGAAGAGTCAGAATTATGACTGAAACAACTCAACAACAATTATTTATCTTAATCAATGTGCTATCTTTTTACCATCTATCAATGTTCTAAGGTCCCTTCTAGCTTGGACATTACATGTTCTATGTTCTAAGGTCCTTCTCAGCTCCGACATTCTGTGTTCTATGTACTAAGGTGTCTCTCACTTCTGAAGTTTCTATTCTATGTCCCAAGGGTCTCCCCAGCTCTGACATCTTCTTTTCTCAGATCCCCACAGCTCTGCTGTCCTCCCTCCCCTTCTTCACCTGTTGATTTCCTACTCATCCCTTAAAGTCAATCTCCAGGAAGCTTCTCCTGGTGCTGTCCTGCCTTTTGGGTAAAAACCATCTCCTTCAACCCTTTCAAAGCAAACTCACTGTTTTAAATTTAGTATGAAAAATCTTATCTCAACACTCTGATTTTTGTCTCATCTCCCTGCAAGGTGTAAGCTCCAGGAGGGCAGGCACCACATCTGATCTATACCATTATCTCCCCAGTTCCTACAGCAAGGCCCAAACATGCAATAGGATCTTAGTACCTATTTGTTGAATGAATGAATGCCAGGTGGCATCATCATCATCCAGGCAAGAGAGAATGAAGCAAACTCTCATCTTCTCAGACTCCCGCACCAGCTAGAGCTGATGGGGACCAAGCCCTCCTTCCCCAGATAGAACAAGGTCTGCAGTCAGCTGGTCAGGAAACTTTTATTGACCAATCCCCTGCCCCCCCACTGAGCTCCCATGGGCCCTGGCAAAGCAGAGTCCAAGAAGGGGGAGATTCACTCGCTTTGTGTCTTCCCACGGACCAAGGTCTCCACCTCCTTCATAAAGCTCAGGCATAGCTCTTCTTGCCAGGGCAGAGATGCACACTGCACGGCTATGAGAAGGCCCAGTGATCCAGCAATCACTTGCAGAACAGAAAGTTCACAGGCTGGCTACGTGCTCCCAGGACTCCTGTCCCAATCCCTGTACCTCACAGAGTCTCAGCCCTGGAAGAGCCTTCAGAGGTCTCTCAGGCCATTTTTTAGCATTCATCCAGCTGATTCTATCTATGAATTAGACGTCTAGACTCTTCGTCCTTTTGTCTAACTGAAGCCAAGTTTCCGTTACCAAATTTGTAATAGGTAGGTAGAGAGACCACTGGATTTGGAGTCAGGAGGACCTGAGTTAGAATCCTGCTGTTTGACTCTGGGTAAGTCACTTAACCACTGTCTGCCTTGATTTCCTCTTCTGTAAAATGGAGATTATAGTACCTATCTCCCAGAGTTGTGAGCATCAAATTGGGTTAGTGATCATAAAGTACTTAGCCCAACACCTGGCACAAAGTAAGTGCTATATAAATGTTAGCTATTACTACCATTAGCTATTACTTCGCCTCTCTATGCCTCAATTTTGTCATCTGTAAATGTTGTTGTGAAGACCAAATGAGATAACATAAGAAGGTTTTGATAGCTATCGTTATTATTATTCCCAAGGGTCAGGCCAAAATGCACCCTTCTGTCTTCAACCTCAGTTCAAATCTGGCATCAGATATTTACTAGCACATGACCCCAGGCTAGTCATTTAACCTCTGTTTGCCTCAGTTTCCTCAACTATAAAATGAGAACCCACTTCCCAGGGTTCTTTCAAAGATTAAATGAGGTAATAATTGTGATTAAATGAGGCAATGTAATTAAATGAGTAATAATTGTCCTCCTTCCTTCCTCCCCTTCTCAAATCTATAATCTCCCCTAGAAGGTGAAGAAGGGACAGATCTTTCCTTTATCCAAAAGCTGATTCCTGTAGTAGAATACAATGTCTGTCCTCTATCTGCTGGCAAGTTGACATAGAGCGAGTCCTGGCTCAGGAACTGGGTGACTGACCTTGGGCAAGCCGTTTTAACTCTTGAGCCTCAGCTTACTCATCTCTAAAATAGGGCTGGTAATATCTGTCTACCTACTTCACAGAGCTGTTGTAAACTATATATGGCTATAGAAATGGGAGTTGTTATTAGGAATATTAAGTATTACCAGGACCAGGAAAGAACAGCAATCCTCTGAATTTCACACACACACACACACACACACACACACACACACACACACACACACGCACGCACAATTAGCTCAGCAAAGTGGTGGCTAAGCCTCGCTCATGACTGTGAAACCTCAGCCCCGCTGTGGAGAGTCATAGTCATGCTAACTTTTGGCCATAACAATAGCTGTCTTTTAATCTGCCCTTTATATCAGAATCCCTACTGGAAGTGAGTAATTCAGTTCTTTCTCTGGGGATGCATAGCATTTTTTCATCCTAAATCCTTCAGAGTTGTCTTGGATCATTGTATTGCTGAGAAGAGCTAAGTCATTTACAATTCTTCATCAAACAATATTGCTGTCACTGTGTACAACATTCTCCTGGTTCTGCCCACTTCACTTTGCATCAGTTCATGGAAATCTTTCCAGGTTTTTCTAAGAGCATTTTGCTCATCATTTCTTATATCACAGTAGTATTCCATCACAATCATATACCACGACTTGTTCAGCCATTCTCCAATTGATGGGAACCCCCTAAATTTCCAATTCTTTGCCACCAGCTGCTATAAATATTTTTGTACATATAGGCCCTTTTCCTTTTTTTAAAATCTCTTTTGGGATACAGACCTGGTAGTGGTATTGCTAGGTCAAAGAGTACATGGTTTTATAGGCCTTTGGGCATATTTCTTTTTTTGTTGTTGTTATGGGCATATTTCTAAACTGCTCTCCAGAAGGGATGGATCGGTTCACAATTCCACCAACAGTACATTAGCGTCTTCATTTCCCCACATCCTTAAGGAGAGTAATTCAAAGAAGCAGTCATTAACATGCTGGGTATGAGGTCCTGGGTGAGCCCCTTCCTTGGTTTCCTTTCCTACAAAATGAGGAGGTTGGACTGTCTCCAAGGTCCTTCCCAGCTCCAACATGCTTAGCAAGTTCCACCACCAAGAACTCTCAGCTCACCCCCAGGAAAGGTAAAATGCTACAGTCAGTCTTTCAGAACTTTTCCTTCCATGTGGATGCAGGAGGTCTCCCTAGAACTAGGTCCATCTCCAAGCCCCACTCTTCCTGCTTTGAACAATAGCTTCTGGCCTGAAGCCAGAAACTCATATGCAAGCAGCTTCCATTCTTGGAATGGATTCATTTTTTGCATTTGATCCCCAGTGCCTAGCAAGAACCCCATTAGACTGTAAGCTCCTTGAGGGCAGGGACTGTCTTTTGCATCTTTTTTTATCACTAGCACTTAGCACAGTGCCTGGCACACAGTAGGAGCTTAATAAGTGTTTATAATTGATTGAACAAGCACTTCATGGATGTTTGTTGACTTGATTAATGTGGGGATGATAATGCTCCATCTAGACTAGACCATGTCACCTCCTCTAGGTCTCTCAACAACCCTGCTTGGGAGTGAGGTTGGGAGTAATATCGCAAATGAGGTGACAGGTGACCAGAGGGCCCAAGTAATTGGCCTAAGTTCACACAGAGCTGGGATTCAAATCCAGATCTTCTGTCTCTCTGTGAAGGCAGATAAGCCTTCACAATAGCAATATGAAAAAGACCCACATGAATGACCTGACCAGGTTAGATAATTCTACAGCTTTTTCCATGGGTGCCTGTTTACTCCCATGTGTACTTGGGTGTGTGGCCCCTCGAGGCTGAGAAGCATGATCTGTCCTCTTAGGGAGGGTCCAGCCAGATGCGGAGAGCTGGGGAAGGTGTGAGCTGACCAGATAGCAAAGGGTCAGAAGGGTAGTTAACCTTCTTGAAGTTTTTGTCTATAGGGTCTTCGGTAGTATGAAGCCAGCTCCTCTTCGTCCAGTGCTGTTACTGTGCCCACAGGCACCACGCCAACTGGGAAGTTCAAGCTACTGAACAGAGTCGTACAGGAGGCAGCGCCTGGATCCCCAAGACAGGAGAAAATCAGAGAGGATTCCAGATCTCCACTATCCCGTCCCCAAACCCACCCACCTCTCAGGAGCAGAAGGAGCTGGAACCTTTTACCTCTGCCTCAGGGAGCCAGGCTCTCCACTCAACAGAAGATGGAGTTCTGGCACAAATAATCCCAAACAATAAAATCATCTCAAAGTCATTTCTACAGGACTGTGTCTTGGACTAGATAGGTCTATAGATGTTCTGCTCCAGTTGGACATAACCTCCTTCTGTTAGTCCTGGGGATATGGAGAGAGAGCAGCTCAGGGGAGCACTGCTTGCTGATTCGAGTCAGACCCTAGAAGGAACTTCCCAGCATGGAGCTTTCGGGCCAGCATAATCAGGGAGGGAGTAGGGTCTCTCAGAGGATGAAAAGGTCAAATGCCTCTGGCATGGGAAGTCTGTAGCCTGGTGGTGGGGGCTGAGCCAAGGACATAGTTCCTGTGTAAAAGATGGAGTCCCTAGAACTGTCCCCTCACACAGACGTCTAGGCTCCCTCCCTTCTTGGACTAGAGCATCCATAAGGGTGTGGGCTGAGGATTTCCCTCCAACCAGGGGCTTCTCAAGGGCTGGGGACATGACTCTCCTGTGACTCACGTGAGTGTGTTGGGGGCGGGCTGGGGTCCTCTTCCTTCTCCCAACCCTCCCGTGAAGCCTCCCTGGGGTCTGCCCTGGTTCAGCTACCTCCACAACCACATGTTACTCCCAGAGATTCTTGGGTGTCCTGGAAGAGAATAAGATCCAGGGTCTGAGATCCCACACCTCCCCCCTCCCCTATCAACCAAGGACAGAGGTGTTCCCTGGTCTTTCAGGGAGGACCTGCCATTCCCCAGGGTTGCGTCCTCCCAAATTCAGACTACCCACAGGCCTCATTTCCTCTTAAAAGGTGAAAATGGTCTAGATGTCACATCCTGCCTGTCTCCTCTGAAATATCTGGGCCAACCTTGGGTGCCTTCCCTACCCCTAGCAAAATCCCTTCAGGTCCTATCTAAC